GCTCTTCAGAGAAACGATCGGCAGAGTTTTGACACGTACACCCTACCCTCAGTTAACAGCCTTCACAGCAGCTCAGGAACAGCTTCTTCTACAAACCTCTGCACCAAACCATCTCAACCTTTAGTAGAGCCGACTATTTGAAAAGTAAGTGGTGTGATTTTTTCTTTTCTCCTTAAATAAGGCAGGTATGCACCTCTCCCAAACCTTAACGCGTGGCTTGCAGAGACACCAGAGGGGGAACGGGAGGAGAAGAGAGCCCCAGGTCATCTTTACTACATCCCTGGAAAGGAAGCAGTTTGTAGCAGGCAGGTCTGTCGTCAGCTGAGCAGAGCCCATCCTTCCAACCCCTGCAGCCCCCTTACCTTGCATGATGTCGTCGTGCCAGCAGTAGGTAAACTGTCCATCCTCCCCACACACGTCCAGGCCCCCAAGGTAAATTTTGTCTGGCTGACAGTCTTTGAGCTCAATGAGCTTCCCTAACCCAGTCAGGAACTCCGTGTAGCGATAGGATCCGTGTTCGTTTGACAGAATTGCGATTTCGTTGTTGCTCTGGGGAATAAGAACACAGAGTCTCACACTGAAGGCTACGAGCGCTCCATCAGCACGAGCGGTTGGGTTATTACCTTCCTAGGAAGCCTTCACGCAGGCACTGATTTTTTAGCCCAAGAAACTAAGGAACAGCAAGGCTGTTGCAGGAGCAGGACAAATCTCACAGCTGGAATAGCAGCACCTGGCCTTCTGCTGAGAAGGAACCATTGAAGGATGAAGGCACCTGCGCACAACTCACCTGGCCTTCTCCAACGTAGAGCACCGCAATCTTGTGTGTGTCGTACGAAGGAATTTGATCCAGGAGCTGCACCGACCTTTCAAACGTCTGCAACCAAAACGTTGGTCACATCTTTAAAAACTTCTCTCCGCGTGCCCGCCGCCCTCCCCAGAACCCCCCAGCACAGCGGCAGCGCAACGTCAGCTCAGACTCCTGACCATGGTTAGTGTCCTCCTCGACGAAGGCTGCCCTGCGCTGCTCCGCGAGGGCGCAGAGCTTCGGCGGTCCAAGGCACAGAGCAGAGCTCTAGGGGGTCTGTCACCACGCTGCCTCGGCTTTACACTTCAGACGAGATCAACCCGGCAAACCGCACGGCTTAGAGGCACTTGCCACGACAGCTCACGTCGTGCCTTCATTTAAGCTCCAGGCATGATGGTTTATGACGTCTCTTGCTCTGCAGACGCCGTCAGCACAAGGCATCAGCCCAGCTCGCCGAGGCTCCCTATGGCCCGACCACCCGACGCTGACGCGAGGGAAGCTATCGGCGGTGCCCCGCTCACAGGAACCCCACTCCAGCACCACTTCTCCACGCAGTTTGGGGCTCGTTTCTCCTAGGACCACAGAAAGCTTCCTGCCCGCTCCCAGTCACACGTCCAGTGACGTCCTGCCAGTATCACCTAACGCTCAGCTCTCACCCTGCACTCCTCCTGCCAGCAAAAGCACTCCACAAATCACAGAATGCTCTGGGTTGGAAGGGACCTTCAGAGGTCATCTAGTCATACCCACCTGCGGTAAGCAGGGACATCTTCAACCAGACCAGGTTGCTCAGAGCCCCGTCCAACCTGGCCTTGAATGTTTCCAGGGATGGGGCCTCCACGACCTCTCTGGGTAACCCATTCCAGTGTTTCACCCTCCCTTCGAATAAAGCCATTGCTCCTTGTCCTATCGCTACAAGCCCTCCTGACAATATTTTCCCCATCTTTCCTACAGGCCCCTTCAAGTACTGAAAGGCTGTCATCCTGCCTTCTGGCTGGGATTCTGAAACAGCACCAGGAAAATCATAGAATCATAGAAAGTTTTGGGTTGGAAGGGACCCCTAGAACTCATCTAGTCCAACCCCCCCACAGCGAGCAGGGACACCATTAACTAGATCAGGGTGCTCAGAGCCCTGTCCAACCTGGTCTTGAATGTTTCCAGGGATGGGGCCTCCACTACCTCTCTGGGCAACCCGTTCCAGTGTTTCACCACCCTCGTTGTAAAGAATTTCTTCCTTATATCCAGCCTAAACCTACCCTGTTTTAGTTTAAAACCATTACCCCTCGTCCTGTCACTGCTGTCTCTAAATCTAAATCTCCCAGTACCTCAAATTCAATCCACAGCCACAAAGTGGGAGCCACCAAGGACCAGGGTACAGAAAATCTCCCACCTGTAGCACTGTTGGTAGGAAGCACCTTTAGATCGCACCATCTGGGCTGGACATTCAGTACTACCATTTATGTTCACAAAAAATAACCAGGTTAGAAAAATTAACTACAAGAATTGTATAAAAAATCCTTGCCTACCTCATTTGGCAACAAAAGGGGCTTGTTGTTTTCATCTCCAAAGAACGGGGAGTGGTACAACTGCAAAAACACAAAGCTACGGGAGAGAGGGGGGGAAAAAGTCCCATTACCAGAAAAATTCAGTCAATTTTGCTCTGTTGTATGTAAGAACGTTACGTACAGAGGAAACAGAGGAGCAATCAGAACGTTAACAGGGTGTTACTCATCTCCTAGAGACACTCTGGGTGCCTGGACTACCTGCAGTCTGTGACGGACCCCTGCCACAGAAACCAGCGGGTCCGCCCAGCCGCGGCAGGCGCCCCCGAGGCCCCCCACGCACTGCGCAGGACGCGGGCCGGCTCTCTGGGCTGGCAGAGAAATCATTTTAGACACAGTCACCATTTACCTGCCCTCAATAAGAGGAAGATTGTCTCATAATGCAATCTCTCACACCTACCAGTATCTAAAGTTCAAAAAGCAACTCTTGTAACCCCTTCCTTTCCTTCTTCTTAGTATTTTGCACATTATATTTCTTGAACTGCAAGACTAGCAATTTGGCCTGTTCACAGCAAAATCAACGCTAGCTGACCTGCAGCCAAGCCACACGTGCATTTGGACCCCAAACTGGGATAGATGAACATGAGGAAACTAATTATTTCTTTCACCATTGAAGAGACTTCTTTCCTAAATCGCAAGGTTAATTTGGTGGTAGCAGGTTCAACACGCCTGTATTAGCTCCTGAAAAAACAGGTAATTTGTCTTTCTTTTTTATCAGCTACTGTTCTGTAGATCCCACAGAACCAGCAGACCACTCTGAACGCATCCAGCCGCGGCTGCAGCAATTTGGAGCTCCCCGTTTCCAGCTTCAGATAAGCCCCTCCACCCACCTTGGGTTTATTCCGGGTACTTTCTCCGCGTTGGAGGCTGCTGTTCTGCTCTTGAAGGCATCTCTCTCGATCCTTTTTCCCCTCCTCGATGGGGCCGAGTCAGAGATGGTGTATCCTCGGGGCCGGTGCCCCGAGGGGGAGCGAGGCGAGGTGACAGGAGCGGTGCCATCCAGCGCGCCTGACCCGGTCACGCTGGCGTCCTCCCCCTTGCCCAGCCAACTGCCCAGCCCTTCCCCTTCCAGGTTCCCAGACTGGGATTTTGACTTCACTTCTGTGCTCAGCCTCCTCGTTACTTCTCTGCCATTTGCATCCTTGAGGACCTCCTGCAGCGTCTGTAGCTCGGGGGAAGAACTCGACTTGCTGAGCGGCTGGGGGGGCTGGGAAGGTGACAGGAGCGGTGCCATCCAGCGCGCCTGACCCGGTCACGCTGGCGTCCTCCCCCTTGCCCAGCCAACTGCCCAGCCCTTCCCCTTCCAGGTTCCCAGACTGGGATTTTGACTTCACTTCTGTGCTCAGCCTCCTCGTTACTTCTCTGCCATTTGCATCCTTGAGGACCTCCTGCAGCGTCTGTAGCTCGGGGGAAGAACTCGACTTGCTGAGCGGCTGGGATGGCTGGAAGGAAAGCTCCTCCAGCGTTCGGCCGTCCTCTGACGGCAGGACTCTCCCGATGGGAATTCCACCCTCCACCAGGTCTTCCGACTTCAGAGATTTTTCTTCTTGGCTGGAGGTTGAGGAGGACTTAAAGAGGGAGAAACAAAGACGAACAGTTTTGCTGCTATGCAGAATAAAAGCTGACAACAGTAATGCTCGAGGCGCTCCCCGACACCTCCAGTGAAAGAGGAGCAGAAAGGTGCCAAGGACAAAGCGATGCAGACGGAGGACCCTGCCCAAAACAGGTATTTACTGCTGCTGCCCTGCTTCCAGTCCCTCACCAGCCACCCCAACTCTCAATCATGATGAAATGCACGTGCATTTTCAAATCATTAGTGAGTTCTTTCAGAGGGTGCCGAGAGGGACTCATCTGAGCACGGACAATCTCCCGTGTGTCTAAAGACGGGGCTGTCGTACAGGACCCAACCGGTTAACCCGTTTCTTCTTACCCTGCTGTAAGACTCCTGGGGTTTACCAAACCTCTCCTCGCTCAGGAGCTGTTCGGAACACGATGTCTCAACGTCCTCGCTCTCTGGAGACTCAGCTGGGGACTCGGTTTCCCTGAGCTCCGTTTCCAAGGGGCTCCCTTCCTCCAGCACCACCGCGGACTCTACGGAGACAGGAGGCAGCAGACCTGAAGGCTGTGGAGAGCTGCAGACCGGCAGGCCCCCGTCCTCTCCTCTGAAGTACCAGCCTTTTCCCTACGGGATTTCAACGGAAGGCCACATCGAATGAGTGCTCTGGTTCTTTGATTTCTTGGCATGTCAGACTTGCTCCTGGTTCCCCTTTTGTACAGAATACCCCATCGCCTCACCCTCACAGCCCAGGGCTGCGTCTGCTTTGGTCAGAATGAGTGCAGCTCTTTCCAATTGCTGCTGATGGACGGGCAGGGGACAGAACGAGGAAATGGGACCTGGTACACCAATGCTCGGCTATCAGGACAGACAGGAACTACAGAGATGTAGGAAAGTACAAGACTAGCATTAAAAGTTCGTCATTATCCAGGCAACGAAGACATCGGTTCTATGCAAGTGTGCAAAAAAGTAAGCTTTTCTTGTACTGAAATGCAATGCTCCTGTGCCTTGCAGTGGCCTAGAAGGAGGTAAGAAATTGTACGAGGAGCCATTTCCTCGCAGTCTGGCAGCTTTCCTAGCATGGACCAGAGGAAGCCAAACAATTCAGCCCCAGACGTGTCGGAGGAGAAGAGAGCACGAGTAATACACGCACTGCAGCAATACTGGGAAACCTGCACGGGGCATCTGGTCAGACGAATGGTTAACGAAACCACGCTGACAAGAAAGCTCCTCGGAAGCCCTGTCCAGGGGCAGGAGGCTATCGCAGCATTTGACCTTGTGTCTGCTCCAGGCAGTGACCCTGGCCACAGGGATGAGTCTGACCAAAGGCTCCTCTCGGCCTTGCTTTTTTTGTCCTGAGGAAAAGGCTGGAGAACAGGAGGCTTCCCATTACGCACACAAGGGACTGGAAGACCAATCTGAAAGGCCAAGATTTGTTTTCCAATGTAAAAAAAAAAAAAAAAAAAATTTAGCACACACAAAAAATAAAGAAAATCAGCAAAATTTAAAAAAAAAAAAAAAAAAAAAAAAATCACTAAAGCAGCTTTTCCTGGATTGATTTCAGCTCGCAGGAGCAAAGTTATTTCAAAGAAGCAATTAAGAGTTAGCATTACACACACATACCTTAAAAAAAAACCCAACAAAAAACAAACAAACAGAAAAAAAACCAGAACAAAACAAACCAAAACAACGTGCTGATCTGGTTAGCTGTCCAAGCCAGAACCCACCTGCACACATCCAGTGTTTCCAAGCTTCCCTAGCTCGTGCGCTACTGCCAGCATTGCTGGTGGCTTTAAATAAAGTGAGCACTCATAACTATTCCTTAGGTGGGAAGAGAATAACGTAAGCAGAGAGGAGAAGTCCAGAAAAATCTTTCACTGCAGCATCTTTGCGTTGCTTGGAGAGGCCTGTGTCAGCAACAGCCAGCAGTTCAGAACACCCTGCTGCTCTGCAGAGAATTTTCCAGCGAAGGAAAGCAGGCAGCAAGACATTTCAACCCTCTAATTAAAACCACAAAGCACTGCAGATTACCAAAGCAACGCAGGTGTTCTGCTCATCAGGTATGCAATTTGATCTCCACTTCATTTAATCATGAAGTCAATTTTACTGAAGCGGAGAAAGATTTTATGCTACCGCAGAGCCTCCAGAAAGCTAGAATTTAGCAGGTTTTCCCCTGAAATATATTTCTTCTTTTTTTATTTAAAAAACTTTTAACCAGCATCCATTGTGATATCAATCTCTCTCTCTGTCTCAGATATATATATCAGCTTCTTTCACCTTTGCTGTGTCCCGTCCCGACAGATTCCTGTCGGCAGAGCAGCGTGGGACTCCATTTCAGGGCAGCTTGTCCTGTCGCATATTCCGCTGTTCTCAGAAGTGGGAGCTTTTACATTGAGCAGAACACAAAGCCAATTGTAAAATAAGCTGAAAATAAATAACTCGGCGAATCAAGCCACTCAGACCTTTTGACAGGCCATTTAACACTGTGCCTCGTGACTCACAATCCACCCCAGCTAAAAGAAAAGTTGCTTTAAGAAATTGTCTGCACTTGCAAATGTTGGATCTGGCTTGGACTTCTTCATGCTAGTCAAGATCCCATTTGTTGAGAGTAATGAGACTGGGTACAGACAGGAGACATGGAGGGGGAAAATGAAGTATGAGGGATACATTTTCTATGAATCAGAGGTGTTCTTCTATGGCAATACTTTTTTTTTTTTTTTCCTTAAAGATATATAAATATACCTGCCCAGGATATGCTCCTGTGCAACTTCCCTTGACAACTGGACTGGTACATGGAAGAGAAAGAGGCCACTGCAAAGGGAAATCAAGTGAGCAGCTACATCAAAAGGAAGGAGAGACTATATGAAAAAAAAAATAAATTAAAAAGCACAGAGTTTAAAATGTAACCAAGAGCCTATTTTAAAATAAATAAATAAATAAATAAATAAAACCAAAGGAAAGAACAAGCTGGGATAAGCTCACTAGATGCCAAAGGGATACTTTCAAGGTACAAGGTCTCAACATGAGTAAGGAGGTATAAACACATGCAAACAATGCAGACTCGAACTGCTCTCTTTGAAAAATGCACCTCTGTGAGATTTAGAAACAGAAATTCCTTAGCCATATCCTAGCACACGAGGGAAACCAGTCTGAGCTGTTCCTGAGCTACACACTGTTGGCAAAAGATCAGTTTTAAACCCACAGAAAAGTCTGAAGGGTAGAAATAGGGATAAAGATTCACGCAGTTTTAACCTCTAAAGGGGACAAACAACATGCATACGACAGCCTGACAGCAAAACACTCACTCGCCAGCCAGCTCCGGCAAGCCCACCGTGGAAGTTGTGTTAACAAGAACTGTTTTCTCAGACTGCCACAGCAGTGGCATTCCAGTGGGTGCTTCCTTCACCTGACCAGTTAGCACCCACATACCACAAATTCGTGGGAGTTAATAAAAGTCTTCGCGGACAAGAATTTAATTTTTCCTTTTTTTAAAGGTGATAATTTGATTTTGACTCTAATTTTGTGTTTACTCATTCCGAAATCCTAAAATCATATCCCGCCCTGTTTAAAACAGATCTGAAAACCAGCATTTTTACCAGGTTTCCAAACAATCCATACCCCTGATGCCACCTCCCCAGAGAAGCCTTGTCTGTGGGTTCCACTGCTCAGCTTCACTAGTGCTAGCAGTGCCGCTGTTGGTCAGAGCTCCGAGCAGGGATTACACAAAGCTTTACAAATTTCAGCTGCTGGGCACGCTAACCTCCCAACATCAACAGCTCTTTCGGAGGTGAACTAGCACCAAAGCAAACGGGGTGAAAAGCCCTGGCCTCTATGTTAAAATCAAGCCATCAAAAGAACCTCAAGTGATTCAGCGGCACCAGCCTGAAGGGCAAACAGTCCTTTTAAGAGGTGAATAAATCCGCAGCCAACAGGATTTGCACTCTGCTGTCTGACGCTGGAAAAGGCAGTGACAACGACCTGACCCTGGCTGGCAAGGTTTGCGAGAGGCCCTTCTCCCAGGAACCCAGCGCCCAACACAAACTCCCACACGGAAGACAAATGGAAATGGAAACGCTGCATGGAAGATCCATCCACGTGTGGGATGCTCAGATCAGCCCCAAACAAGTGGAAGAGGGAACAGATCCCACGACTTTGTTCATTTTCTTTGGGAAACAGTTAGCATGAAACGTTGCTCCTCCAGAGAAGCTCCACTACTCCTCTCCTCCTTCTCTTTAAGAAAGAGAAGTACTTCTCCGACAGAACATCAGAAGCAAGGAGGAAGGGAATTTTTCACTGAAAATTTCTAGGGACAAGAACTGCTTCCCCTTCTCACTGCTATGTTATTCCTCATGCTACCAACTGTACTGTTCTAGAAGACTTGAAGGAACTTCAACAGACTTTAAACAGGCTAGTAGTGACAGCTACACTGGACACGCTGCTGGCTTGACATCTCTCACCTGTGTTGGAGCGCTGGAGAAGCGATGGTTTCGCTGTCCCGGTGGCCAGGCTGGAGGAGGGGACAGAGAGGGATTTGTACAGAGCCGTTTCTCGGTGTTCTTTAAAACGCTCTGCAGCCATGAGCGCATTAGAAAGCTCTTGCAGGGGCATGTTGTTAATATCTGAAGAAAATGGGCTGAGCGGGTTCTCCAGGCTCATTAGCCAGCTTGTGTTACCTGGTGAGAGAAAATCAGGGAAGAGTATTAAGTACACCCAACTCCACAAAGTTTACAACTCACAGCAAAAAAAGCACAAATTGTTTTGGATTTTGCAAGTAAAAATTAAAAGGGATCAAGTTCTCCGTTCTCCTGACATTTGGCAGAATCACTTGATTGATTTTCTATTTTCAGTAAGCAGCTCCCAGTGCTCTGTACTTCACCCCAAGCTCTTCAAAAAACATTGAATCATAGAAAGTTTTGGGTTGGAAGGGACCCCTAGAGGTCCCTGGTAGCTCATTACTACAGCAGATTCCCAAAAGACATCCAAAACTCTCAGGTGTTTTAATTAATGACACCAGGTCAGTTATTTTCCCATGAAGTTATTTTCCCAGCTTTCAGCTGAAATGGCCAATTCCCTGTTGATGTTGTGTATTGTACCACTGTTCAAGAATTTTGACCTTGACCATGTCAGTGCTCCATCCCTAGCAGCTGACACAGCCATGCAGCTGCTCCAGCCATAAGCCCCACTCATCACAAACCCAGCACGGGAAACTAAAACGCTGCACAGACAGATTTTCATGAAAGACCACAGAGCAGCGTGAAAATGGGAAATGCAAAGTCAGGTTGACATCATCTGGCTCTATTTCTGTAACAATATTTAATATACAAATTGAAGTCCTTGCTTCAATCTTGTCACATGTCTTTTGTAGATTTAAAACACTAAAGAGGGATTTCAAACAATCAAGCATCAGATGTATTAGTTTGAAGAGGCAGTAAGCAATACAGAGATCCATTTGCAACTAAATATGGATTTTTCTTTTTCATCCAGGCTCCGGTTTCTTAGCAAGTCAAAAGACCTCACTCCACACTCAGATAAAGATACCTGTGGGTCTGCGCACTAGGATTTCTGCCCATCCCTGTGTCAGCAGCGGGACATACGCAGCCAAGTTTGCTTTTTCTTTCTGCAGAGGTGGCTGTGGAGCAGGATTAGTCTTCTGCGCTCGAGAGGCAGGGGCAGGAGGACTCTGTGTCCCTTGGGAAGCCGAGCCGCTGGGGAAATGGGAGGCTGAGCTGTCTAAGGCACCGACGCGTAAGGCATGACCACCTAGCAAGACAGACACAAACAGAAGGCAGAGCCATGCTTAGTTAGCACTAAAACTATCTCAGAAGTAAGAAGTCTTTTAAGCTCCCCTAGCAGCTGCACTCACAATATTGGGAACCTAAGAGAACTTTACCTTGAATGCGTTTCTTATGAGCCACGAGGTCAGACAAACACAGGTAATTCTCATGGCAAGTGCTCACCACTTAACCAACCTCCAAAGCTTTCCAGCAAGGAGAGCCAAGCAGGAGGAGCACCACCACTCCCGAGGCCAGCAGCTGCTGCTACCTGCCCACTATTAAACACAAGACAGGTCCAGGTTCTCAATTAGTTTAGACACAGGTCTCTCCAGCAGGCACTTGGACACTTCAGCCTGCGACAGGGACCCAGAAATGGCAGTGAGACTCCAGGACAGGCATTTACCAGACATGGATCGGACTCTGCTGCGAGAGCTTCTGCAGACCTGCTGCCCAGCTTGAGATTCCAGTTTTGCTGGAGCTTCTTTAGTTTGTCTCACTTGCAAAACAGGGTCTGAGCTGTGGGGGAAAAAAAAGAAAATACATTGATGATACTGAGAGAGGAATCAAGCACGCTGGACAAACAAGACATTCCTCTTCGGGTAAGTGGAAAACCTAAGCAGATGTACTGTAACAGTGGTTTAAGTGTCTGTTAGGTGGAAATCTGTAGAAACAAGAGCAAAATTTACCTTGATTCTGTGCTGCTTTGGAGCTCTCCAGAGTCTAGGCCAAGCAGGGACCTTGTCCCTGTTCCAACGCTTGTTGTGATGGTCACCAGCTTGTTACCAACAAGCCACGTCTTTGTCCTTCCTCCAGCCAAGAGAAACTCACCCACGGGAGACCTGGAAACACATTTGTGATGAACGCAGCTCTAGGGCTGCCGAGCACAGAGCCTACACAGGTGGTTTAATTCACATAGCTACGCAGGAGGTACTGCCCGCTTTCCTTCTTTATACAGCATTTTTAACATACCCCCTGGTCGTTAACATACACGTTATCCATCAGGACAAGGGATGGGCTGAATTTAGTATCAATTGATGGTAGTACTACTGGACACACAGGACAGAGCAGTCCAGTTCAGTGCTGGACACACATCACAGAGCAGAAAGGAGCTATGTGTCTCCTGCCGGGAAAGGCCAGCAAGAAAAGGAAATGCCCTCCATTTGAAGCCAGCTGGCACGACCCTCCGTTCTGCCGCGAAGGCTGCGATTGTCCAGCAAGGACCCGGAGCAAAGCACTGCTCACAGACAGCACGCCTTCAGGCATCTCCTTCCGGGCAGTTCAACGGCTGGCGGGCTCCAACGGACACCTCTCATCTAACCTCGTATTCAGCCAAGCCAGATTTTATCTGCGAGGAGCAGCTTCAGAGCCCGGGCCTGCCAGAATCTCGAATGTGTCACGGTGATTTTCCACTAATAAAGTGAAATATGAACCTCAAACAAAAATACCTCTCCCATGGTCACCGACTGACCCCTACCTCTTAGGCACCGCAGTGAAGTTTGAAAAGACGTATCGAGCCATCATATCCAGACAGGTCTCCGTGAGTTCCAGGTGGAGATTTTTTAAGTTGTCATCAGCCTGAGCCATTGAATTCTCATCTGCAGAGCCCAGGCTCGAACTAGTGATGGATGTTTGTATCCGACTAGAAGAGAATGTTTCCAGCTCACACATCACATTGGAAAACGCTTGTCCCTGTCACCCGAAAGACAGCGTGATGCAGAGCAACCGGCGATACATGCACGTGCCAGATCAGAGAGGTGGCCAGACATTAAGCCCAGGACACAACAGAAATATTTTTGGATCAGCCTCCTGTTGTGCTTTGCAGATTGTCAATGCAGAAAGTGTCTTTTATCTGGAAAGACTGGGAAATGTTTCAGTGTCCGCCAGCCGAGTGGGCCAGGCCAGTGCTCGCTGACGTTGGTGGCCCATGGGCAAGTGCACCAAGCAAACAGAGAGTGGCAGCACCATGCTTGGAGTTGGCTCAGCTACAGCGAGGGCAAGCGTCCCGTGACCTGCACAGTTTCCCAGGCAACATGTTGCCCATGAGCCATAAACCGGGGCACTCTAGGCTTCACTTCATCATCCTGTCGTTTGCTTTTTTCTCTGTTGCATCCCTTTCATATATTGATTTTTTTTTTCCTCCAAATTCAATAGCTACATAAAAGCTAATTTAACTTGAAACAGAAAAAAATTGCACTCTGAACAGGAAACTGGCACAAGAATAGAGAGCAACTCCGCCTTCAAATCACCCAAGTCAGCAATGCAATTTAAACCAATTGCAATAATAGGCTAAATTGCAAAGTTATATAAAGACAATTCCTCATGCCATCGTAATGCAAACTAAGCTGAGGTACAGCCGAATTGTTTATGATGTGGCAACTTCTTTGGCATCATTAAGGGTCATTATCTGAACTTTTAGTTGCCACCATTTACGTATAAATACAAGAGAAGCAAAACACCTAATAGATTAACGGGGATATCAGAGAACGATGTGACAGAATTGTATTCACAATTCAGTCACTTCACTGTCTGTACCCTAAAGACCATACAGTTATAGTTAAAAATAAAACCACAGAAAACAAAGTTCTGCTGACAGCAGTCCTTACAGATTCAGGCACAAACCCTCAGGTTCAGATTTTAAACCAACATGTTGCAGAGAGCAGTTTAACACTCAAGCGAAGTGATCCAGAAATACATTTTAAAAACTAGAACAAATTGTTTCTTCTTTCACGTGAGGAAATCAACGTCTGCAGTCGAAACCTGTTTTCTTTAGTCGTGAAAGCAACAGCTTCACATGGGCTGAGCAAACATTTCACTGCCCTATGGAAGACAAATGAAGGTCTTCACAGTATCATACTTTAGACCAGAATACTTCCACCAGCTCTCTGAGCAAACATCTCACTGCCCTACGGAAGACAAATGAAGGTCTTCACAGTATCGTACTTTAGACCAGAATACTTCCACCAGCTCCCTTTGCCTCGAAGAACAAACCCTCAACTGAGGCCAGAACTACTCCTCACAGTTTGGGCCTGCACAGAAGCTTGCAGAGCATCAAAAGCCTCTCCTGGGGCAAGTCACTGCTTCGAAGGCTGAAGTTTTAGCGAGTTTTAACCAGGACTCTCACTTGCACAGAATGCAACCTTTTTCTTTTTCTTTTTTGAGGTTTTTTGTTTTTTTGATTTCCCCCCCTTCACCACCTTCACTTTCAAAACAGAAATTTTTGTTGCTAACGCATCAGAGAATAGGGCAAAGTAACCGTACACAGCGTAGGGTGTGATGTGACAACCCAACCGCCGGCGTTGGGAAGCCACGGGATACCCACGATGCTTTCCCCAAACCTTCTGACTGTGGCTCAGGCCAGTTCGTCATTGAGTAACGAAGTCATGCAAGCACCCCACATGCAAATCCCCCCTGCTTCCACCCACCCTTGCAGTAAAGTTTCCAAGTGCTGAGTTGCTCTTGGATTCTCCCCATTTAAAGTGCCTCTACCTGCGGACCACATGTTCAGACACACTGATGCTGCGGGATCGGAAGGCATCAACTGCAGAGGATTCTTTCAGCTCTTTCACTGGAGGAGAGTTATTCAAGCCTTGCTTTGCATTTTTGGCTAGTCTTAAACTACTAGGTGGAGAAGCACCAAGCCCCAAAAGAGGTCACAGGAAGGGAGGAAATCATTGTAGGGATGTAGGTTGAAAAGTCACAGGTCACAGGGTCAATATTGGGGGATCCCGGAGGGTGATGTAAAATAAAACAAATGCCAAAAAAGGAAAACAAAAATTAAAACGTACAAACAAGCAGAGCCAAAAGCATTAAAAAGACAAACCACATTTTGAAAACAAGATTTTAAACGCGCTACAAAACAAATGAAATTAGTACAAGTTAAAATAAAAAAACTGATTGAAATGATAGTTGGAATACTGTGCTGTTAAACAAAGGCAAGAGCACCTGAATGCTAATTTGGCACAAATTTCTCAAGTCTGAGAAGTTTTGTGCAGTTCAACCACCTCTCGTGTTGCCCCAAACTCACCACTTCAGCACGGCTAAAAACCTGACTACCTCCACAGAGACCAGATCTCAAAATGCTTTACCAATGCCAGGTAGCAGCACATTTTGTTACGAGTCACAGAATCACAGAATCACAGAATAGTAGGGGTTGGAAGGGACCACTGTGGGTCATCTAGTCCAACCCTCCTGCTGCAGCAGGGTCAACTACAGCGGCTGAAGCAGGGTCACCTACAGCAGGCTGCACAGGACCTTGCCCAGGCGGGGCTGGAATATCTCCAGAGAAGGAGACTCCACAGCCTCCCTGGGCAGCCTGGGCCAGGGCTTCGTCACCCTCAGAGGGAAGAAGTTCTTCCTCATGTTCAGTCACAGGAATATGTCAGCCGTCCCTACCTCTGATAGGCCTGGCCCAAACCTGAGCTTCCACCCTGAGTCACAGAAACACCCAGGGCCGGGCAGAGGTGCCCCTTAGCTCGGCTCGAGGCCCTGGAGGAGACTCAGCCCATCTCTGTGAGGCTGATGCTCCTCACCCTGCGCGGACGAAGGGCCAGAAGACAAACACCCTCTTGGCTGCTGCTGGCAGCGTGATGCTTTTCTGTCAAACAGCTACCTTACTTCAGGCAGCTCGAGGTAACCCACTCGACTGTCACTGGAACAGAAAGGAAGATAAGCCTTTACACTGTCAGGTGCCAACCACATGTGGGAGAAGACAGCACTTAACATCCAAGAGACCTTTTAATTAGTCACAGCTCAGATGCACGCCTGGCTCAGGACTAATCTGGGCATAACAGCTGGTCCAGCAGTTCACATCCCCACATCTAAAATGCAGAAACTCATTTAACCCTTCTGGCTCTTTCTAAACAGGATTTATTTCCTCTCCTCCTTTCAGTGAATTATTACATTTCAGATTGCCACCTGGAGGGATTGGAATTTATTTGTCCTTCTCCCAACAACCCCAGACAGCTCACTTTCGGCCACAACTGGAGATGTGACTGCAGAGAGCACAGGCTCGTGCCCCGAGACAGTCACCCACACGGACATCACGCCATTCAGCAGCCTTGGGAACCGCCGGCATCTCAACCTCTCGAACACCCAGCACCTCAGCTAGGGCCCAGAAACGCCTTTCTTTGGGCTTAAGGAGTGAAAACCAAGCATGCAAGCTTCTCAAGCAAGGAAACAGATATTTGCTCAAAGCTATTTCATCTCTTGCTTGGCCAGAACCCAAGCTCAGACAGACTCCCAGGCAGGGGCATCCTGCCATGCTGGTGTTTCGGGTTGCTGCCCGAGTACAGCCCACACTCCTCAGCCGAGATTTCTGTGGAAAGTGATCCAGCAGCATTAGCAAAAGCCTTTAGATACAGTAGTATTCCAACCCGGTAGAATTTAACAGGTTTTTGGAAAAAAAGATTAGTTGAAATTCTAATCTGAGAAACAAGCATCAAAAGGCTTCTCTTCCAAGTTTCTGAATGAAAGAGGAGGAGATGGGAGAGATGAAAGACGAAACAGGGTTTACAGCTGCAGCATTAGGGCAGGGATGGTGTTTCTTCATTCCAAGACACTCGCTGAGCCTTGCAGCTAAAGTAGAGGCACTTTCCCCAGGGTTCAAATGCCACTGTATGCTTACTGCACATTAACACTGAAGCAAGTGAAGTGAACCAATTTAGGTACGCCCTGCAGGTAAAAGGACGTTAGAGAAACCCTGCATGCCTTCCAAGGAGTATTTTCCTACCCTGGCAAATGTTACTTTGACAGACTGCTGGCAAGATACTTTCTGACTTCTAAAGACATTGAGCTTTGCTTAACACTGACATAAAGGCTTCAAGATTCAAAAAAATGATCAGGACATCCAGGTACACAGAAGGCAGCTGCCTGCCACCCAGTACACTGACTTGACAGATAACACTATGGAAAAACACAGGCTGGCGCTCTCAATTTATACAGGTTGCTAATCACAACAATTTCTCAGGCAATTATTGAAATAGTTGTTACAGATCACTTATCAAAAGGAGTAACACTATCAATATGAACATGGTATTCTATTACTTGTGGTACTTCTCTACTACTTCTGCTGGCGTTGTATTGACACACGTCAACCTGAAAGAACTGTTGATTTTCAAAAATTAACAACAAAAAGCCTCACACCTCACTGCAATGGCTTGCAGAACAGCCAGTGATGCCCTCATATGTACTACCAGACTGTCAGCTTGGTTTGATTCCAGCTTCTTACCAACCTAAGTTTGTCTTTTACCAGTCCCCCAACCTAAAGAGGTTTACTTTGCTTGCTTAAATGCACTGCCAGATTTTGGACAAGTAGACCCAGCCTCCTTCAGAAAGACACAGGGAAGGGTGTGAGCTCTAGAACAGGGAACACAGGACCCTGCTGGAGTCAAATATAGTTTACCTTTTTGGCCTCTCATTCAGGCTTGTACTGCGAGCCCTGAAACTGTCCTTCTCAGGCGTGTCATCAAAGGAAAGGAGGACATTTGAGCGCAAACCCTGCCAATGGAGACAAACAGGCAACAGCTTGAATGGCTAGGACCCGCAGCTGAAAGACTACAGTCGTGGGCCAACGCACAAGAACTCACAGTTTTGATAAAGATGTTGACTAGAAAAGTAGAATTTTTCTGGCTTCAAACAGGACCTTTAAAGTCCTCAAGTCAGATTTTAAGTCATGATTTTTATTATGTGCTGTTCGATTCATAGTGTCCATTACCTTTGTAATATAGGGGACAAAGTCCTTTCGGAACGGCAGGCGACACCGAATGAACCACATAGCTATCACGTGATGGGCCAGGCAAACGATGTACTGGTTAAACCTAAAACAGCAGAAAGATCTCCACAGAGTTTAACGCTGCATTATGATGCCATTCCAGAACTGAGCAGAAGGACTTTTCAATCCGAGAAACAGAACTGTTCCTTAAACTACTGCAAGTAGAAAGAAAAAAAACCCTCAAAAGTTCTGTTCAAGAAAAACAGATGTTTTGTCCAAGATGAGTGGGTCCCTTCTTCAGAAAAAGCCTGGAGATACCAGAACGGCCAATATCCTGCAAGTAACCTTGACCCAAGTACTACAAAAAAAGCATGGCTCGATCTCTTAATTTTACAGCTGAGGAAGAAGCACATTTGCTATGAACTTACTTGGAAGGGTTTGTGTATGGCAGGGAGATGGCGAACACACTGGCATACTGCTCTGCGGCAAAGTTCCGGTAGAGGTGAGGCAGCCTCGCTAGAGCTGGAACAGTTCGAGAAGAAAACCAACACTGGTGAGGTCTGAATGCAAAATACTCAGTATCACAATTCATTTTAATTTGAAATGCTTTGTTTCTTCTAAAACATCAGCTGATGTGGAATTTAACATTGTGATACAGTTTCATGCTATAGAAGTTACAAGCAGCAAGGTGAAGAAAGCAGCATGGTATTTCCATCACTGTATGGCTGCACCACACAAAGCATGTCTCTGCCTTCAGGGAGTGCAAGAGCTTGAAATAGAAAAACTGTAACAAACAAGAGGTGATCAGATATTTGTACCTTGAGGATGATGCAAGGGCATCACCAAAACCCAGGAAACCCTTACAGTCCATTCCATATGACTAACACCATCGAAATACCCACACGGTGCAAACAATACATTTACAACTACAGAAGATGAGAAGCAGAAGAACATTACAACTTACTTGAAAGAAACTCTAAGAGGGGGATTGCCATATTGGCTGTAGCGGAAATGTGGGTTAATTTGACGATTAAGACAGGAAGCGCCTTTATGATGATGTCAGGCATCTCGACGCTGCAGACGGAGAGTGCCACAACGCACTGGTTGGCACAGCGATAAATAAGACCATGCTCCAGGCAATAC